CTTGTTCATGATCTTAAGGGGACAGCATTTAGTCTGTCACCGTTAAGAATGATATTAGCCATACACTGTTGGAGATGTTTTATCAGATTGAGGAAGTTCCCTTTTATTGTTATTTTGATGAACATTTTTATCATAAGTTGGTGTCAAATATTTAAATAGTTTTTTAAAACAGTGAAACTTGTTTTGAGGGCTTCAGAAGTGTAGTAAATTACAGACTAATTTAACATTGCCATAATCTTCATTACAAAATAGTGTTATATAACTGGTACTCTAACATGTAAATTGATGTATTAGGAGCCACTTCCGTCTAGACAAAATTACTATGATGATTCTGTACAATGTAGGAAAAGAAGGTCTAATCATCACCTTCAGTGATAACATTTATGACTAATGTACTGAGTTGTGTTTGGAGATACTCCTTATACCCCTGCCCTTGAAATCTGAAAGATTTACTTAAGAACCAAACTGCTCATACTCTTCTTTTCTCTATTAAGTTCTGTTAACTCACATGTCCATTTTTTGTTTTCTTTGGAAAAATGCTTTAGAAATGTTAGCATGTCCTTATTAAGCTAAAGAGTAATTCACTTTCCATTTTCCTCCTTTTAGGTTAATTTCTTTTATTGGGTATATGTTCTTTTCCTTATATACAGTGTAAATAAATGAACTGTAGTTAAATTTAAAAAATCAGAGTGTATTTACTATTGGAATTCTTTCCTGCTATGTTCATTCCTAGCAGACTGGCTTCGAATGATTTTCACTTTCGTTTTTTTTTTTAGGAATAATTATCATTTTGGGACAAGGAGGCTTTAGGTCTTTAACTTCATTTGTCCTTGGTTACTTCCGGGGTTGAATTGGAAAAGGTTCAGAGTAGAACGGCTTTGTTATCGGTGGGACAGTAGAATGGAAAACCCTAAATTAAGCACTGGAATTTGGAAAGTGTCATGCAAGAAAAAGGAGACGTTTCTGTGAATCACTTGTAGGTTTCTTGAAAATTGTAATGGGTTAGTCCTTGGATCCACTCTGCTATACATGGCAAGCCTACCAATTCCATGGTGTTCTTCAGCTAGAGTTCTTGCACACAGTTTCTGTGATTTCTTTTAAATCTGTTGCTAGAGAGATTTTGGTTATTTCTGCCAATTATGAAAGCTTTTACAGCTTTTTAAATGGACTTTCTTGTTCCTTAGGTTTCCTAGATCACACATGATGGCACTGTGTTCATTGCAGCTTACAGTCAAGTCTTATTTTTAAAAAATATATTGCTATTGTAATTGTTTTATTGAAAAATAGAATGGGCTAAATGATAACTTAGAAATCATATCTTCATATTTTTTCACTTGTATTATAAATGACTTTGCTACTTATTAAAGGACCATTAGGTTACATTTATTTTAAGATCACAGGATTAGAAGCATTGATTGGCTTCAAAGATAATTCTAGTCCTACACTTTGTGAAAGGTAAAGTGTGCTCATAATGTAATTTTGTGATTACATTATTAGTGATACCTAACGTGCCCTTCCTGTTTACCACACCCAGATTTCATTTTATCTTATCCCTGTTTCACCTAGAATCCTCGCATGCACTCTTGTATAGAATTATTGCTCTGTTTATTAATAAATGGAACCCATGTTGAATTTTAGCAGGTTTTCCCTCCTCCGTCTGTGTCTTTGATGGTAGCTGGGTTTACTGCTGCTCGCTTATTAGTGCTCTCGGTCTTAACAACCTTATTCAAACAAAACGTCTTAAATGGAGTCAATTACATGGGTCGCAACAGTGAGCCATTTTCTAACTTTTGGGGCAATAAAATGGGTATGTTGTGTTTTGGAATATAAGACCTCTGAGTGCAGCTATTCATTTTCTTCATCTATAAAACGTTTTAGAATAACAGCCTACATCTGTTTGGGGTATAAAACTCCACGTTTTGAAGAAACATCACTGTTATGTAACTTCAAGCCAGACTCCGGGAGGGAGCTAGCTTTCTGACGGGCCCACGTTCTGTAGCCGCTGGGAGTAGTGTTTGTTTTAGCTATAGAGCTGTATTTCCTGGCAGCCCATCTTTCACATGTGTGGAACACATTTTCATTATTGTTTCTTCATATTGTAAATGACAACAAGTGTGTGATAGAATTTTGATTTGAAAAATTTTTACACATCAGGAATTTATGAGGGATATTTCACTAATAGAAGTCAGAAGCATATTATTTAAGCATTTATGGCATATTTAATTACTTTAGACTGTCAATCTTCTTTTAGAAAGTAAAGCTGGGATTTACTGTCAGCTCCGTTTTTAAAATAAATACTCAGTGGAATAGTATTGCCATTGCAAATGTGTTATTTTAAAATTATTTCTTTAAACTGAAGGAACAGCTCAATGAATAACTTTCAGTGGAAGAAATGGGCTAAATGTTTAACGATAGAATTCAAAATCTAAAGTATTAAGTACCAAATAAATGCAGATAACATTCAGTGCCATTATAGGTGATTTTAATTGAGAAGTAAATGATGCCAAGGTGGATTATTACAGTAAATTTTAAAGCTTTTTCTTATCTTACAAGTGTGAAATATTTACCTTCTTATTAAAATGTTATGAATTTGTTTTTGAGAGGGGAGAATAAAAGAAGGAAATTAAAGTGATCCATAATCATACTACCTGTTAGTCTTTACTACATATTGTAAACTTTAAAAAATGTAGAAAAGCTTTTCGAACCCTATTCCACTGTTAAGTTTTTGTTTTGACAATTGGAAATACAGTACTCGAGTTTCAGAATGGATAGTGTCAGATGCTTTTATGTTTTTGTGACGATAAAAAACTAAATTTAACTACTCTTATGGAACTTTGATATTCAGGGTGAGCTGGCTGCCTGTATGTGATGGTAACAAACTTCTCTGAGATTGTAGCTTGTCAAATTAGTCCAGGCTGTTGACACTCTTTTTTCTCATTTACATTTCCTTCCTGAATGGTAGACAGATGATTTTCTTTCTGTGGTCACTGTTTGTCAAACTTGGGGCCATCAATTGCTGTAGTTGAGTAGGACAGATGATGCTACTCTTTAAATTTCTAATTAATAAGTATTTTTTAAAAAATACCGTCAATTCAGATGAAGGTAAATACCCATTAATTCCTCCATAATTGGGACATGACTCCCATGCCCACCCACCCACATATAGTGATAGTGATAATGTTCAAAGTCCACATTTACTTTTCTCTTGCAGCTGGGCTGCCTGTGGAATGCCAGTACTGGGCCCGTGGCATGTGTGTGCTGTTGGACATCACTGCCACCAGCACCCGCCCCCTGGGCTATGCCTGGACAATACTTCAGCTGCTGGGTGGAGTCCACTGGTGTGTAGACATTTTTATCTTAGGAAATATGAGATGGGTTTCTAAGTTTGAATTTCAGAAAATTTAATTAGTAACAAATAGATTGTACTGTGGGTGAATTTATACGCAGATAACTTAGGTGTCTCCTGGGGATGTGATAGTTAGACAAGACTCTAGTCAGATTGTCAGGGCTTCTTACCTCCTAGCTGCCTTTAGGCAAGTTACACAGCGTGTTTGAACCTCAGTCTCATCAAGTATAAATCAAGGAAGTAATACTACCTAACTGTCAGTGTGTGCTGTGAGGAATCAGTGAAATGAAACTTACGAAGTGCTTATTAGCGGAGTACCCTGGCACATGAAAAGTGTTGGTGGTTCTAGCCTTTACTGTTAGACAGCTAATTGTAAATACTGAACTCTTAAGTGTGGTGATTCTCTTGACCACTCATGCTTCATTACTACAGATGACTTTCCTCCCTAGCTGTGCCTGGGACTTGATCGGCGCTCAGACCCATGTCCCCCTGTGTTTTGTTAGACCTTCTCCACCTCCCCCAGCATTGACTGACTTGGTGATCCTCCCTTGGGGGGTGCAGGCTTTGCACTCCCACACTGACTGCTCTGTTCCTAGAGTCCTGGTTTTCAGGTTAGAGTCTTGCAAGTGGCTCTGTTTGCTTCCTCTTTCTTCCTTGCCTCTTTTTGCTCTCCATCTACCCTTGCCCTCTCTCCAGCCTCCTCCTCCCTCTGTTCTCCCTCTCCTTTCCTTCTCTGCCCCTGTCTTCTGTCCTCCTCTCTGTACCCCCACTCTCTGTGCCCCCATCCTCTGTCTCCCTGCTTTCTTCCCCTCCTTCCTGCTCCCTTTTTATCCCCTTTTTCCTCTCTCCATTCTCTTTACTTTTCTTCTACTCCTTTGTCTCTCCCCTTCTCTTTTTGCTCCCCCTTTCCTCTCTGTTGTCTCCCCATTCCTCTAACGCTTCTTCGCCCACCCCCCTCCCCTTACCTTCCTTTCTCCTCTGTGTTTCTTTTAAATGCTAACACTTTGACTGCTAAGAGGGACACAGCCTTGGCTCTTAAGCACAAAAATGTCAAGTCCTAAAGTTTTTTTATTATGATGAGAAATACTTATTTTGTCATTTCAGTAGCTGGACTCTCGTGCTTTTCTTTCCATTTCAAAAGGGCTTCACAACATCGTTTTATGTCCCCTGGGCTCAAAAAGTTAGAATATCAACAGGCTCAGTGGCTCACACCTGTAATCCCAGCACTTTCAGAGGCCAGGTCAGGTGGATTGCTTGAGCCTACGAGTTTCAGACGAACCCAGGCAACATGGTGAAACCTCATCTCTTAAAAAAAAAAATTAAAAGTTATCTGATTGTGGTGGCATTTGCCTGTAGTCTCAGCTACTCTGGTAGCTGAGGTGGGAAAATCTTGTGAGTCTGGGAAGTCCAGGGTGGTGATCGTGGCAGTGCACTCCAGCCTGAGTGATAGAGCGAGACTTCATCTCAACCAAAAAAGAAAATCCACAGACTACAGTTTAACTCTTTTTGTATACTATACCTCTGAATTTGTTTGATATTAGCTTTGTTATAAAGTTAAAATGAAATAATAATAATTATAGGCTCATACAGTCATAAGGCAAGCTTGGCTCTTTCTTACCTAATTTATTTGATTTTTTTCTCTCTCTCTTTTCAGATTCCTTTTTCTTTGGTCCAGTTTCCCTTATGGGAGTCCTTAAAAGTAAGTTTCTCAAACTGCACATCAAATTTATCTCTAACTATAATACAGCTAATAGTTCGAGTGTGGAAGAGTAGAACATAATGTTGACTAGACGTTTAAGAAGTCAAATCTAGTAGCAGTTGAAGATACATTTTATGTGTGATTTACTTGCCATTTCAGTCTTTTAAACTTGTTCAGGTGGCTGTGCTCTGAGGAAGTAGGCGTAGCACTGACACCCATAGGTATTAAAAAAAATACTTAGCTGTACTGTTTTTCTGTATTGCCATTTTGGAATTTCTGAGCATAACCAGTGCTTCCGTGTGTGTGTCTGTGTGTGTGTGTGTGTGTGTGTGTGTGTGTGTGTAGAAGTTAAAGAGTTACAGTGAGGGTAAATGGATGAGGAAAAATGCAAAGCCTTGAATACATGAAGACTGAGAAGGCCCAGTTTCCTCCACACCCCATATAAGGAGCACTTGGACCGGGAGCAGCAGGGTCTCGGGGCTCTGATGGTCCCTTCCATCTTGGCTGCTCACTCCACCCAGGACTAGATGCCCCCAAAGGGAAGGAGTGGAGTATGGTGAATCGTGAGTCAACCTTGGAGAAGGTCAGTGAGCTGTTTAAAAAACCAACACATTTTAACCATTAAGGACATGGACATGGGCAAATATTTCATGACGAAAATATCAAAAGCAATTGCAACTGAAGCAAAAATTGACCAATGGGATCCAATTAAACTAAAGAGCTTCTGCACAGCCAAAGAAACTATCATCAGAACGTTCAGACAACCTATAGAATGGGAGGAAATTTTTGCAACCTATTCGTCTGACAAAGGTCTAATATCCAGAGTCCACAAGGAAATTAAACAGATTTACAAGAAAATAAGCAGTGACATTAAAACATGAGCAAAGGACATCAACAGACACTTCTCAAGAGAAGACTTTCATGCAGCCCGCAAACATGAAAAAAACTCAACATCACTAATTGTTAGAAAAATGCAAATCAAAACCACAGTGGGATACCACCTCATGCTTTAATAATCACAATGGGTGATTATTAAAAAGTCAAGAAACAACACATGCTGATGAGGCTTTGGAGAAAAAGGAACACTTTTAGACTGTTGGTGGGACTGTAAATTAGTTCAACCATTGTGGAAGACAGTGTAGTGATTTCTCAAAGACCTAGAACCAGAAATACCATTTGACCCAGCATCCCCATTATTGGATATATATCCAAAGGAATATAAATCATTGTTATAAAGATACATACATGTGTATGTTCATTACAGCACTAATTACCATAGCAAAGACATTGAATTTACCCAAGTCCCATCAATGATAGATTGGATAAAGAAAATGTGGCATATACACAGCATGGAATACCATATAACCATAAAAAAGGAGTAAGATCATGTCCTTTGCGGGGACATGGATGGAGCTGGAAGCCATTATCCTCAGCAAACTAATGCAGGAACAGAAAAGCAAACACCGCATGTTCTCACTTATAAGTGGGAGCTGAACAATGAGAACATGGACAGAGGGAGAAGAAGAACATACAACCACTAGGGCCTATTGAGGGTTGCATGGAGAAGGAGAGCATCAGGAAAAAGAGCTAATGCTTGCTGGGCTTAATACTTATAGGTTGACAGATGGAGCAAACCACCATGGCACACATTTACCTGTGTAACGAACCTGCATATCCTGCACACATACTCTGGAACTGAAACCAAAGGAAAAAAAAAACCAACACGTTTTTAAAAGCCTGTATTCAAAACATGCAGAGATGTTGCATTGGTTTTTCACTTTCTCGTGCAGTGATAATGAAAACTTTGGAAAATGATACGAATTGTGTGGGTCTTTGTCAGCATTTTAAAGACCATAATGAAGAAGAAGATAGGAGAGGGCACCTTACATGGTAAGAGTCTTATTTTGTAAGACCTCAATGTTACGTGAGTATGCGCGCACACGCATACGTATCTGTACTAGGTTGCAATGTGAAATGTATTTCTCATTGTGGATAATGGTCCAAAAACTTTGAAAGCCCTTTTTCAAGTGAAAATGGTTTATAAATGACCAGGGTGTAAAATATCTAGGTAGGCATTAGCTAATACACAAATAAAGGAATTACTATCATCATTTTATAGATTTACTAGGCATGGAACACTCATACAAAAGGTCTTTCGAAGAATATCGTAAAAATCATTTAGACCTGGAAATAAATTTTGTCCAGGTTATATACTAAAGGATACTAAATTAAGAAAAAACATTACTCTTTAACAGAGAAAATTGTGGGATATTAAGTAGTGAGAAGTATTTCTTGTAAGTGATCTGATTTTAAGGAGGAGTGGTGCTCATTCAATACAGTTTTTTGGGTATTCCGTTTTGTTTGTTTTGCTGTTTCCTATGCGGTGTGTGGTGAAAATAGAGTTCTCGGACAGCATTTCAGGGTATGATGTAACAGCTATCCAATGAGAAGGTCACATTCCATTAGCATAACAGCTCTTCTTTTTAGTGTGTGACAGAGGAACAATGAAGCCAACAACTGTCCAGCAAACAAGACTTTCTTTATTAGTGTCTCAATAACCAGCATTCACACAGCTTCTGCACACTCTAACATCCTTTTGCCCTGCAAAGGAATGTTTTGAGGCCTAAAGAAGGAAAAAGCATAGTGTTTGTTTCTTTTCAATATTAAGGACATTTGTAGAATTCTGGCTAGTTAAGAAATGTCCAGAATTTTTCAGAGTGATCATAGATGACAATGCTATGATTTAAAAATTCTCTTTGAGCAAAATGTTAAGATGCTGCAATGTTTTTTTTTTTTCTGTCAAGTCAGGTTTCTTGAGGAATACATAACATGATAAAATTCACCCTTTATACATGCACATTTTTATGAGTTTCGATAAATGTTTACAACCACCACCATAACCAAAATAGAGAATTTCCATCAACCTAGAAAGTTCCCTCATGCTGTGTTGTAGTCATACCCTTCCTGCACCCACAGCCCCTGTGACCCACTATTCTGTAGTCTTCTCTTTTCCAGAACATCATAGAAATAGGTAGAGTACTATTATGTCATCTTGTGCCTTGCTTCTTTTACTTAATATAATATTTTGGAGATTCATTCATGTTGTTGCTTGTACCAGTAGTTTGTTTTCTTCTATTGCTTTGCAGTATTCCATATGTGTATGGATATGCTACAGTTTACTTCTGCACTAGTTTATACACATTTGAGTTGTTTTCCAGTTTTTGATAATTATAAGTAAGGCTGCTATAAATACTTGTATATAGTATTGGTATGGATATAGGTTTTTATTTCTCTAGGTAAGAGGCCAAGAGTAGCATTCCTGGGCCATAAAGAAGGTATATGCTTAATTTTATAAGAAATTGAAACTGTCAAGGTGTTTTCCTAAGTGTTTGTAGCATTTTGCATTCCCACCAACAGTGTATGAGAGTTCTAGTTGCTCTCCATCCATGTCATTTCTTGTCACTATCAGATTAAATTTTTTTTCAGCCATTCTAGTACATGTGAACTGGTTTTAAAAACTCATTGGGGTTTTAATTTGCAGATCCCTCATGACTAAATAATGTCGAGCCTCTTTTCTTTTTCTTTCTTTTTTTTTTTTTTTTGAGACAGAGTTTCACTCTTGTTACCCAGGCTGGAGTGCAATGGCGCGATCTTGGCTCACCGCAACCTCCGCCTCCTGGGTTCAAGCAATTCTCCTGCCTCAGCCTCCTGAGTAGCTGGGATTACAGGCATGCACCACCATGCCCACCTAATTTTTTGTATTTTTAGTAGAGACGGGGTTTCACCATTTTGACCAGGATGGTCTCGATCTCTTAACCTCGTGATCCACCCACCCCGGCCTCCCAAAGTGTTGGGATTACAGGCTTGAGCCTCTTTTCATATAGTAGTTTTTCATATAATAGTTTTTAAACATTGTGAATGTACAATCACAATGCTTTTGTAGAAGTAGACAGTTTTTGGAACTTTAAAAATTTTTGTGTTTACAATTTTATCAATTTAAACTTACTTTTCCAGTCATGGAGATTATCTTATTTGAGAAGATTTCTCCACTGTGTTTGTATATATATGGAAATACTACTATTTAGGAAATTTTTTCTCAGCCAAGACTAGCAGATTGCATACACATGGCACTGCGGGAAATGAGGAGCTGGAGGTGGTGGTGGCTACTGTTGCCTTAAACTCAACTCTGTCTAAAATCAAAGTCATCATCTTTCTTCTAAAATCATGTCTTCCTGCTGTCTCTCATTTCTATTAATCAATATTCTTCTGGCCACCTGGTCTCAAGTCTCAGATTAAAATTTGATTCCCTTGTTTCTCTTTCTCCGTATCACATTACTCACCAAGTTCTGTTTACTCGACTGTTGGGAATCTGTGGCCACATTTTACTTGGTTCTTAGACCTTATCCTTGCCCACATCCTAGTAGGTTCTCTTCTTTCTCATCCATTCTACATTTTGAATGTGTGTGATCTTCCCTAAACTTCTCTTTCAGCAACACTTAGGTTCTCAGGAACATGAAGTTGTTGGCACTCAAGGTTCTCCACACCGTGTTCTTGACCATTTTGTTCAGTCTCTACTCTGTACTTTGTGTATGTGTGTGTGTGCGCGCATGCATGCACGCAGGCACAGAATCCTTCCCCTCCAGCCAGAATAGCCTCCTTACTGCCTCTAAATACGTTCCCCCTTCCCTGTTATCTGACTTCTTTCTGAAATATGTTTCTAAAGGTCCAAAAGTGATGCATCATTCAAAGCTCAGTTCCGTGTGATTACTTACTGCAGATTTGTCTGTGTCACTGACTCGTATTTAATCACACGCTCTTTTGTGTTTAAAACATCTTACAGTGTTCAGATAAGGCCTTAACCCCTTCCATTTACTAATAAATGGCACCTGCTGTCATTGAGTCTCTGCTGCCTGTCCACTCTGATCTGGACATTGTTGCGTTTCACAAGAATGCAAAGATGAATAAGAAATGGCTTAATGCCCTTGAGCTGAGAGTCCATCAGAGCGGCACACAGCCCAGTGATAACTTAAATGTAGTGTGTCTCTAATTGCAGAATACTCACTTGTTACTACACTACATCATTGCCTTTGTTTTTCTTTTTTTATAATACATATGCTTACCAAAACATATTTTAGATGAAAGAGGACAAGATACCAGAAAGAGATGGGGAAGCAAAAATGGTAGATTATCATGTCCAAAGCATTAGAGAATTTTCCTTGAAGATTTGTATTTACTTTGGAACTTTATGACAGCCCAACAAGAGAAACACTGTAGATTTCATGGTTTTTATTATATGACAAGGAGCTGTAGCTTGTAATTTTATCTTATTCCTTGGCTTTGGATGCCATCTTTAGACCAACTTGCATGTGTATAACTCCATGGCAAGCCCCTTCCTCTGAGCAGTAGCCTCAGATGACCAGCTGCCTAGTTGATATTCTCACTCAGGATGTCTCTGGGTGGCCACATCAGAACAGCACTGTCACTTTTTATTTGCCTTCTTCCCAGTCTGTTCTTTCAGTTGTCCGCTTCTCAGTAAGCAGCACAGTTGTCTGTTGCTTGCTCAAATAGAAACTTAAGAATGATTCCAGAGTTCTGTTCTTTCATCCCTCATCATGTAGCCCATCAACAAGTTCACTGTTCTAGTTCAAGCCTCTAACTCACTCCTTGTTTGAATTGCTACACTGGGCTCTCAAATGCTCTTCCTCATTTCACTCAGGCTTCCCCAAAATATCTTCTTCACCCGGCAGTCAGGGTGATCTTTTAAAGAAATGAATGAGGTCAGGCACCATGGCTCATGCCTGTAATCCCAGCACTTTGGGAGTCTTAGGCTGGAAGATCACCTGAGCCCAGGAGTTCGAGAACAGCTTGGGCAATGTAGACTCCATCTCTACAAAATTTCTTAATAAAAATTATCTGCAAGCAGTGGTGCACACCTGTAGTCCCAACTCCATGGGAGGCTGAGGTGGGAGACTCACTTGAGCTCACAGCCTGGGCGACAGAGTGAGACCCTGTCTCTTAAAAAAATAAGAAAAAGAATGAAATTAGATCATACCATTCTCTGCTAAAACCTGTCAGTGGCATCCCTTTTAAAAAAGAATAAACGTAGAGCTTACGACCTGGCTGTCAAGGCCCTGTGTAATCTGGCCTCCATCTGCCTCATCAGCCTTATCCCGTGCCACTCACGCACTGTGCCCAGCCATGCTGCAGATGCACCAGGGTCCTTACATTTGTAAATTTCCCTGCTAGAAATATTCTTTCTTCCTTCATTCTATATATTTCATTTTTTAGGTGTGTGATAATTTTTTAATTTTATATTTTTCCTGTTTTAAAAATTGACAAATAATATCTGTATATTTCTGGTGTACAGCATGATGTTTTGAAATATATAAATAGTGTATACATCTTTTATCAAGTGTCTGCTGTGTGCCAGCCATTTTCCAAGTGATGAAGAGGACTGACACAAATATCTGTCCCCATGGAGCGTTCATCCTAGCTCTTTCCCTAGGCCTCTCTCATATCCCCTTCCCCATTCCCCTCTCATGTGTCCTCTTTCCCCATTCCTCTGGCCTTAGGATCACATGTCACCTCAGAGACACATCCCTCCCCTCTTCTCTCCTCCGTAATCATAACACGGATTTATTTCCTTACTAGTGTTTTAATGACTTAGTTTTATTTAGTTATGCACTTCCATCGCCCGAATGATTATTCATGACATCAGTGGTGTGATGAACAGATACTGTGTGCCAGGCTCTGGGCTAAGCATGATGCATTCATTACCGTCTTCTTCACACCACACACAACCCAGAGAGGTGAGCCTTGCTGTTATCCCCACCTTAAAACCAGGGAAGCAGGGCTCGATAAGGTTGTCTCTGCCATAGTAGCCTGAGCACCTTTTACTGTGTGCTGCGTAGCAGACAGGGACTCAGGTTACCAGGTGATTTTTTAGTGATGGTAACAGCTATAGTAAAAGCAACAACAGCCCACATTTTTCAAAGCTACAGTATGCCAGGCAGTGTAGTAACCACTTTCCACAGATCTTCTTTTTTTTATCTCTGTGGCAGTCCTTTGAGGTAGGTGCCGGCCTGGTCTTTGTTCTGTAGATGTGAAAATGGAAGGAGAGTTTGAATGCCTTGCCCAGGGCCCCAGGAATACTAATGGGCACAGTCAGGATTTGAACTCAAGTTGAGATCTAACTCCAGACTTGATATTCTTAATCACTTCACATGTAATTATTCACACCACACATGATGTCTCGCATAATGTTTTTGCAATTTCATAAACTGCAAGTTGATAAAAAGTTGAGGTCATGTTAATAGTCAGCTCATTGAAGGCATTTCTGTCAGTAACTTTGATTCCTTAACTTGATGGCATGTAGCTTAGAAAGCCTGGCCAGCATGTTTCTTAGACCACCTCGCCCAAGCGTCCCTTGCATCTGCTGAGCTTGGGCAAGGATTAAACCATGCTCACGAGTCAGTTCTCAGAGACCATCCAGGGAGAGCACAGATAAGTTCACAGTAATGAGTTCAGCCAGAACTGCATTTTCCACGTGCTTGTGTTGAACGCCCACAGGACTTGCTTATTGGAGGAAGGAACGATGTCTTCTGTTTATTCTTTATGGTTCTGTCTTTTACACAGCAGGTGTTTATGTAACTGTTCGCTAATTGTTTGAAGGTTAGCATTCTTTTTCAAGTTCAGTGCAAAGTTGGATAACTTATCTACATTAACTGTTTTATTTACGCATTCCTTTAGAGGTATGTTCACAGCCATTAAAGAGTTTTCCCTTTTTAACCATACAGGTTTTTCCTTGCCAAGCTTTACGTCAAAGGTGAGCATATTATGAAAGGATATGATAAAATTTCCTGTGAGGATGTCATTTTTTTCTGTTGTCTTAGTGTGAGACATCAGTTAATAGTGCGGTGTGGAAGCTGTTAAGAATACTGTCAGGTCCAGATGGTTTCGCTTACAGCTACAGGGTGTTACTAAAGCAATAGCTAGATGAGATGTAATCTTTAAGCTAACAGTATTTAAAGCAAAATGAAAATAAAATCAGTTTGGTTTTGTAAGATAGCAACATTATGCTAATGCTTTTCTAAGATGAAATCTTAACTTTGTAAAACAAATCAGGGACCAATACATTTTCACTTCACTTATAGTAATAGTTCAATGTGTATAATAATTACTTAGATCTCTCTTTTTTGTTTTATAAATATTTTATTTATTTTATTTTTTTGAGACGAAGTTTCACTCTTATTACCCAGGCTGGAGTGCAATGGCATGATCTCGGCTCACAGCAACCTCCGCCTCCTGGGTTCAGACAATTCTCCTGCCTCAGCCTCCTGAGTAGTTGGGATTACAGGCACGTGCCACCATGCACAGCTAATTTTATGTATTTTTAGTAGAGACGGGGTTTCACCATGTTGACCAGGATGGTCTCGATCTATTGACCTCGTAATCCACCCGCCTCGGCCTCCCAAAGTGCTGGGATTACAGGCTTGAGCAACCGCGCCCAGCCTTATAAATATTTTAAATGTGCAGGACTATGTAAAAACTATTTTCAAGTTTAAGAGTAAATAACATTTTCTTGTTGATTCTTGTTTTAGTAGTAGTTAAAATGTCTACTGTCACCTTACCCACGACAAATTTCTCTGATACTTTTAGTGGTATAAAGAAGGTAAGAATTAGAAGATGCTCAGTGCTCAGTGTCTGCAGTTATACCATTTCATGAGACAGGGAGAATCTGGTGTCTGCATACACATGTTTGCTCAGAACATAGTTTCCAGTAAAAACATGGTAAAGATTGAAAGGGAGTGGTAAAAGACTGAAAATGCCTTTGTGTCTGATTTTTACCACACTAAGCTAGTATTAAAAATTAAATATGGAAGAAACTACCTGAAAATAAGAACAAAGTACATTTTAGTCCAGGCACAGTAGCTCACACCTGTAATCCCATCACTTTGGGAGACTGAGGTGGGCAGATCACTTGAGGTCAGGAGTTTGAGACCAGCCTGGTCAACATGGTGAAAATGCATCTCCACAAAAAAGACAAAAATTAGTGGGAAGTGGTGGTGTGGGCCTATAATCTCAGCCACTTGGGAAGCTGAGATGGGACGATTGCTAGAACCCAGGAGGCAGAGGTTGCATTGAGCCAAGATTGTGCCACTGTACTTCAGCCTGGGCAACAGAGCGAAGCCCTGTCTCAAAATAAAAGTAAAAATAAACTGAACAAAGTACATTTAAAATTTTCAGATCAGCAGTCAAAGCAGTCTGAGACACTGTTTAAGATTTTAGCAAAATCACATGATGAAGCAGGCATGTTTTAACAATTCAAAAACTATCAGAAAGTTTTAATTCTTAATTTGCATCTTAGAAAGTATGGGACACACAATAGAAAAAGAATGAGAACTCCTCAGCATACTTGCATTCAAATTATAAAGGTAAGAAGCAACATTTTCTGGTTTCTAGAGCAACTGAGAGAGTTCCATATAGGGAATGTAAGAATTGGAAAAGCATGAAACTCCTACTTTTAGGTGAAATTCAGTGAGTAAACAAAATGTTTCAGAAATGTTTGTGTTTTATAGTTTGGCCAAGGAAAAGGTAAATAGAGATGGTGGAAAAAAAGATGACAAAGAAGACCAGTAGGGCAGGAAGAGTATTGTGTATCTCAAAGGCCCAAGAGGATGGATGGAAGGAAAGGCTGTGGCTCCTGGAGCCCCTTCTCCCAGCTCCTCATTTAGAGCTGCGTACCCAGCTGCCCAGGCAGCCTGCTGTGGTTACGGTTGTGGAGCCAAACTGGTAACACCCAGCACATTCCTTGCAGGTTCTCTTACTTAAACTAAAGGTAAGATTTAACCATGGCTTATGAATGCCATAGCCTGGAGGTAGTGGGATAGGGTCCTTTGTAAGGAAATAAGGAGAAGCATACCAGAATTCCTCATTTCTTTCTTTTAGGCATTTTTCTCATATTTATGCAAGTTTGTGACTGAAATGAGAAAAATAGAATCCATCAAGATAAAAGGTTCTTGGGATGAGTCATATCGACTTCTTTTGGCTGAGACAAAGTGTGAGAAAAGAGAATTTTCCACACTTCAGTTTAATCAGATAATCAAACATAAATATATATTTACACTTAAAATGCCAATAATGATTCCGTGTTCCAAGGAAACGTAAGACCTTGGAAATCAGCTTATGATTTTCAAGGGACCCATCTATACATTCACATGTAACCTCCTTTAACAAATGGGGATACAAAGGAGAGTGTTAGCTGTTTGTATTTGTCTTGGGACCTGCTTGCTTGTTATTTGTGAGCATTTTGGAGATTTGTTGAGTACATATAGTTTAAGTTTCCCATATGAGTTCATGTGCTGCTTCTAGGTCTTGCTCTGCCCCAGTAGGCTTCACCAGTTGATCATAGCCTTCATTCCAACTGAGCCTAAATAAACTTGAGAAACCATTTTTGCACAGCTCTTTATGAAGCATTGTCCAGTTCAGTAAATGCCATTTCTGATTTACAGGGTTCTTTATTGAACCAAGAGTGAAAATTTGGGATTGGCCCATTCACGTTTTCTTCTGTTCTTTACACAAGGGTAAATTGATGAAATACTACTTATATGGTAGGTGTTCATGTAGGTACCAAACATATACCAGCCTTCTTTATATTAGGAATCGTGTGGGGCCCTGTGGGATTCCAGAGATGAAGGTAACGAGGTCCCTCTCCCTTAGAATCAAAGGCGAGATGAGAGAGCTTTTAAAGGGCGATGAAAAAAAACAAGTGACTGCTTTCTTTTAAAATATTTTTCTGGTGCTTTTTTAGACAAAATCTTGTCAGTATATCTATTTCCCAATAAATAGGGCTTGTCAGTGCAAGTCCTGCAGCTCTTTTATGTTAACCATTTTTGATAAAAAATCTTTTTAAAGAGATTGTCCCATATGTAAACATAGCAAACCAAGTGTTCTTTTGCAGGCAAAAATATTAAAAACAATCATACCTGGGCCAGGCATGGTGCCTCACGCCTACAGTCCCAGCACTTTGGGAGGCTGAGGTGGGTGGATCATGAGGTCAGGAGATCGAGACCATCCTCGCTACTTAAAATACAAAAAATTAGCTGGGTGTGGTGGCACGCGCCTTTAGTCTCAACTACTTGGGAGGCTGAGGCAGGAGAATTGCTTGGACCGGGGAGGCGAAGGTTGCAGTGAGCCGAGACTGTGCCACTGCACTCCAGCCTGGGGGACAGAGTGAGACTCCTTCTCAAAAAAAAAAAAAAAAAAAAAAAAATCACACTTTTTCTTGATGACTCATAATCAGAATAATTTGTTTCATTGTGACTGTTACTCAGTGATATATTTAGATGTTGTCAGTGGGTTTTGCCCTATGCAAAACTAATGATATGGTTTGGCTGTCTCCTCACCTAAATCTCATCTTGAATTGTAACTCCCACAATTCCCACGTGTCAGGGAGGAACCCAGTGGGAGGGGATTGAATTATGGGGGCACATCATTCCTGCACTGTTCTCATGACAGTGAATGAGTCTCACAAGATCTGATGACTTTAAAAAACAAGTTTGCCTGCATAAGCTCTCTCTCTGCCTGCTGCCATCCATGTAAGATGTGACTTCCTCCTCCTTGCCTTCCGCTGTGACTGTGAGGCTTGCCCAGCCACAGAGCACTGTAAATCTGATTAAACCTTTTTCTTTTGTACATTGACCAGTCTCAGGTATGTCTTCATCAGCAGTGTGAAGATGGACTAATACAGCTAAAAAGACATCAGACCACAAGTAGAAAGCTCAAAGGATCCCCAGTCAGAATAAATATCCCCCCAATAAAACCTAGCCCACACATATTCAAAAATAATACTGTATAAACTCTAAAACCTAAATATTACAAAGCAAAGTGAGCATTTTAGTCCATCATGCTTTTGCTTAAGAATAATCATTATCTTTGCCTGTAATTACCAGCACAATTATTAGTTTAAGATTTTTTATATGTTCTTATTATCTTTACCAACTTATCTAGAATGCAAATATCTAAATATCTCAACATATATTATTATCAAAAACAAGGTACAGATCAACGCATATAAAATTGATGCCCCTTGCACATCCTAGAACAGTTTCAGTCTAGCTGCCATTATAACCCAGATCAGCCTGTGTACCCTAAGGGATTCCTAATTATCAGTTAGGTATATCTAGTTTTAATTATGAAAAGTAGTGCTATATTAAAAATTCATTTTAGCCTGTTAGCCACTGGTTTGTATCGCAAGAGCCACGGTATGGCAGAAATGAAAGCCCAGTTGTGGTTCCCAGTTAGATTTGTTAGTCTTTTCAGTTTCAGAACTTTCTTGTAGAAATCTCTTTTTTAGACATAATAGTATGTCAGTACGTCACAGAGAGATGGTTCATCTGATTAAATCGTAAAATTACAGGCAGCTGTTGCTTTGTTGTTTTAAAATATGTGTGTAAAAGCTACACAATAGCTTGAACAACTACAGTATGGAAAGTATTTGCATGAAAATCATTGTCTGCTGTGTTTAATCGGTTCTAAACTTCTGGTGGTAAACTCACAGCAGTGAGACCTACCCAGAGGATGTTATCAAGAGCAAGCCTAGATTTGAAAAAACTAAGCATTATGCTTTCCGCTGTTTTAAATTTTGTCATCTGGTGTTACTAATTTGGAATTGAGTATATGATTCTGTGCATATACCTATTGTACCATAAAAAGCATGTAGTAAAATTTCATCATCTTGTAAGGTTGCAAGCCATATAACTGCTTTTGATTAGAGCACCTTAAAGCGGTCCCAAGTTGTAAGTTTTGGTTCACTGGAGCCAAAACACTTATTTTCAATTTGTTATTCATATGACAATAGTGCTTATTTGGGTGGGGCTTTAAAAAGTGAAAAACAAAGCCTTCTCTTCATGCTACACTTTAATAGAAAACACCTGGTCTGGGCTTGGACACCCAGCCATTTCATAGTATTGTGCCTGGTGTTTGCTTTCTGGCCTATGACTACTGGTGCTAATAGCTGTTATTTATCTTGGGATAGGGTTGGGGGAGCCAAACTACTTCATGCTGTTCCTCTGATAGGCTTTTAGCAGTAAGTGAAGAATCACTTGGGAAATTACAACCTAATTGTTGTAGTGATATCACTGAGTATCCTAATGAATAATAGAAATATTATTTGTTTAAAAAGTCAAGCTGATGTTTAAAAATTGCTTACTTTTAAACAATAATTATTATGGTGAAACTCAGTTAGGGTGTGTAGCTTAGTTAATAATATTGTACCAATCTCGGTCTTGTGCTTTGATAATTATACTATGGAAGCTGGGTGAAGGATATTTGGGAACTATATTATTATTATTATTATTATTTGAGATAGGGTCTTGCTCTGTTGCCCAGGCTGGAGTGCAGTGGTGTGATCACTGATAACTGCAGCTTCAGCCTCCTGGGCTCAGGCGATCCCCCTACCTCAGCCTCCCTAGTTGCAGGGACTCAGACCTTTGCCACCACATCTTACTGTTTTTTAGAATTTTTTGTAGAGACAGGGTCTCCTTATAAGTTGCTCAGGCTGCTTTCAAACTCCTGGGCTCAAGTGATCCTGTCACCTCGGACTCTCAAAGTGCTGGGATTATAGGCACAAGCCACAGCACTTGGTGGAATGCTCCTATTTTTGTAACTCTTCTGTAAATCTAAAGTTATTTCAAAATAAAAGTGTCATACAACCTATTCGAAATGTTTAAGGAACCTTTACTTAAGAAACATTACCGAAGTGAAACTAAGAACATTTTTGACTGGTGTTCTCATTACTTAAACTTGATATTTCTCATTAATGTTAACCATAGATTCATGTGAAAATTTCATTTATACTGTAATTACAGCTACTTGGGAGGCTGGGGTGGGAGGATCGCTTGAGACCAGGAGTTTGAGACCAGCCTGGGCAAACATAGTAAGATGCTGCCTCAAAAACATAAATTAACTGGGCATAGTGGCACTTGCCCATAATCCCAGTTACTCAGGAGGCTGAGGCGGGAGGATCACTTGAGTGTAGAAGTTGGAGGCTGCAGTGTGCTGTGATCACTTCACTGCACTCCAGCCTGGGTAACAGAACAAGATGCTGTCTCTTAAGTTACTTGTATTGTAGCAGGAGTGGCTGCGGAAAATGGATCTCTCGGATACCGAATATAGGAGGAAGAAGTTTATTTGGCCGGGAGCAAGGTGGCATAGTTGCCTAACAGCCAAGCTCGCCTAACAAAGGAAGGTTCCTTCCTTATATAGGCTTATACTTTAGATGTTACACGTGGAAGAATCTTAGGTTTATAGCTTAAAGTATGAAAAGGGTCTTGGTTTACAGTCTCAAGAATTACATATGAAAAGGGTTTCGGTTTACATTCTTAGGAATTACATATGAAAAGGATCTTGGTTTACAGTCTCAGGAATTACATATGAAAAGGGCTTTGGTTTACAGTCTTAGGAATGAAAAGGGGAAGTTTACAGTCTTAGGAAAAAGGGGAAGTTGATCTGAGATGCCTGGGTCTCCCTCTTCAGTATTTGAACAGAAAAAGGAAATGGGTCATTGAATTGGGATAAATAAGCAAACACCAGGGAAAATATGAAAAAATCATTTTAATCTAATTTAAGCAAGTTGTTTTACACATTGACATAATTTGTTCATTCTCTTGGATAGTTTAATCATTCCAGTAGAAACTGTGATTTGCTTGTAGAAGTGTCTCATGAATGCTTATATCTGTGTTAGCAGACAATTGTAGCCTATAGATCCAAACCCATGTGTTTTCATGCCCACACCAGAGTGTCTCATCCAGCTCCTAGCTTTCCTACTCCCTGTTTAACCTTTGGCAAGTTACTTAACGTCTTTGGGCCTCATATTGAAACAATTTTTTTCTTAGAGATGGGATCTCACTATGTTAACCAGGCTGGTCTCAAATCCCTGGACTCAAGTGATTCTCCCATCTTGGTCTCCCAAAGTGCTAGGATTACAGGCATGACCCACAATGTTTTTGTCTATAAAATGACATGATAATAAAAATTACATACACCTCAGAAGGTTGTGGGTGTATGTAAAGTGCTTCACACCCAGAACACGGGAAGTACTGTATGTTCTATGTAATTGTGTATTGTGGTTAGATACAGTCATTCTTTATGTCATGCTTTGTGTTTGCCACTGACGTTTCTTAACTTCAAACATTTTGGGTCTTCTAGAGATTTGTTTTAACATACTTGTTAGTGTCCATTTCAAATACTAAATTATTTCTTTGTATGTTGTTTGTGGGCTCATTATTCTGGCCAGGTAATAGTGGAAAGTCATGCTTGTCTGCGGAGATTCTATTTTTAAATGGTATCTTTAGCCATCTGAGTCTATTTTGATTGTGTTTCTTTTTCCCCCCGGCAACCAATTTTTTTTTCTCCCTAGATTGTAACAGGCACCTCTGTGAAACCTTCTCTATCACCTCACTTCTCTCTTTTATAATCCTCTTCTGCCCTCACCATACCTTCCTCAAACATTAGACCTAGGGACAGTTATGTTTTCTTTCCTTGACTACAGTACCTGACACTTAGTAAATATTTGTTGAATTTATGAATTACATAATGTTGTTGATTTCTTATCACATCCACATCTTACTTTTGCTTATAAACTCAGCATTATTACCAGCATTTTAAGTTTGTTTGGAGTAGCCTTCTGCTCTTTGGAACCCTTAAAGGTATTAGTAGATTAACTGAACATGACCTTTAGTCATCAACAGAAATCTAGTTTATATTTTGCATTGCTTTTCTAATGAGTTGGTGAAATAAGTATTGGTGTTAAAACTGGCATTAGCCTGATGAAATACACCCTTTTCCACTTTAGAAGTAAAGAAAAAGCGATTCCACTGTCTTGTTTCTTATTCTTAATCCAATGCTTGTAGGAGCTTTGGAGAAAATCATCCTTTCTATTAAAACATACAGATTGATTTGCAAACATTAGAGCATTTTCTGAAAATATACCAGTTACTCTGTTCAATGGCAGTATTAGCTTTAGAAACCTGTTTTTTGTAAATCTTTTCTTTTTTAGCTTATCTACTTTCACAAGTAAGGTGCCAAAAATCTATTCGATAGCTGCACTGTCAGTACAGTAAATTGAATTAATCCTCTTTCAGAGAATCATTCTTATTGGTACGGATAGATGGAAATGGTGGAGTCCTCAAGCCACACACTGTCACTTACTTAATTTGCTAGATAGTTAACGTATTCACCGTCTGTCTGAAGTTGTAAAAGTTGACAGAGTAAACAGGGTCCTATTCCTAGTGATTCAT